CAATTTGGTCCGATCCATTTTCGAAATAAAAAGTCATTAAATATAGAAAAACAATTTTAAATATTATAGGATGAAAATATAATAAATAAAACTATAAATATTAATTAATAAACTAGAATGTAAATGTTTTAGATTGTGTAAAATTATTTAAAAGAATATCATGTAAATTAAATGTTTAATAAACGATCACATTTGTTAAAAAATAATACTATTTGCGATGTTTGGTCGAACTTATTTTCAAATAAATATAACAAAAAATTGGCCTATAATTTTCTATTAACATGAGTCTTATTTTGGGATGAAAGGAGTATTAAATGTTTTATTTATATGATATTCTTCTAAACAATTGTGAATAACTTGAAATGTTTACTTCAAAATTTATAAAGTTATATTTATAGTTCTATTTATTAGATTCTCATCCTACAAAATATAATTTTTTTCATATTTAATGAGTTTTTATTTTGAAAATAGAGCAATTTGAAAAGATACACAACTAGAAAGGACCATTTTGAAAATTAGTATAAATTTTAACGTCGTTTTGATATCTGTTAGTCGAAGGGCTAATTCTAGCAGTTTTTTCAATTAACGAGTGTCATCTCGATAATTAATTCATCTCAGAGACTAATTTGACAAATACATATAGTTATTGAGTACCGTTTTAGAAATTTACTCTATTTAATATTAAAGTAAATTACTTTGAAAAAATCTTAACTTAGCAGGAGGCTAGTTAGGTCGGTTTGGGACTCAATCGGGTTTTACTTATTTTTAATTTTTTAGCGGATCATTTTCATCTCCGAGTTCAGTTAACAAAATCTTTGTTTAAAATTAATTATTTTCAAATGGAATCTTAGAAAAATATTGGTCAAATCACTATTTGGATCAATATAAGAATTGGAAAGGTGATCTTTTGATACATCCATGGCTTTAAATTGGATTATATTCTACTCCGCATCTTCAAATTTCCTCATCAATTATCAATCGCATATAGATCACAGCACCACAATTTGTTGTGCCATCAAATCCCATGGATTACAAAAAAATCTCCCTTTTTATAGTAGCAAAATGAAATTTCTAACTTGACTTAGATTAGTTAGATATATACTCCGTGCATATTAGGCCACACTAATTTATGGGAAAAGCATCAATATAACACCTTCGAATTGAATTTGACATTTCAAATAACAATTGTCTCTAATTTATTTACACAAATAATGTAACTATAAACTATATATTTCAATTTCACTCTCTCTGTGTGAACAAATTTACGAATAGTTATCATCTTTAATGTCAAACAATAGATATGAATAATATAAATCAAATTCTGATGAAAACATTTTTTTAGAACAAACATAAAACTAAACTTTATTTTAAAGTAATGAATATGCCTATCTATTTCTTTAATGTAAAAACTAATTTCTTTTTTCATCCAAGTTAAGTTAAATTTAGTTTTGTTACATAAAAGTCTTTTTTTTTAATTTTAGGAAGTCTAGAATATGATAATTAACTAAAGTCTAAAGTTTGGTAGCTAAATTCCGAATATTGATAACTGGAAGCTCGAGCCTCGAAGTGTTAGTTACTCCCTCTCTTTCATATCTTTTTTTCACTTCGACCTTTCACGATTTTCAATATAATGTTTTGATAATTAATATTCTTGATTGTGTTATAGACATATATTATAAATTAAAATATAATGTTTCATAATTAAGTTTCAAAATAAATCTATTTACACTAAATTTATGTCATAATTCAATACTCCCTCCGTCCCCAATTTGATTACAAATTGTGGGTTACGGAGTAAAATTTCCTACTTTTTGAAATCATTTTATTTACAAATTGGTATATCAATAAGTTATAAAAATTACATATTAAAAAACTACGTCAAAAGTTCTACAAAATAAGAGGTGACAAGAATATTTTATTTTATCAAATACTTGATGAAATCGCGTAAACAAACAAAAGTTATCGAGAGGAGAAAGAAAAAAAAATTGTAATTAAATTGGGGACGGAGGGAGTATAATTTTTCATAATTTGTGCTTAGACTTTAAAAAAATTGACCACTAAAGTCAAAAATAGAATAAAGATATGAGATAGAGGAAGTAATTGAGTTAAAATAAGTTTAGTTTTGTTCAATAAATAAATATGGATTGTAGGAAGCCCAGTATCCAAAATTCATTAGGAAGTTCACCTATGTTCGAATCCCACCAAATGTGGAAACATTGACTATTTTTGGGTCATTAGATTGAAAAAAGTATTATAATTTTTTTGTAATAAAGCCAATAACGTTAAAAAATACAGAATAAATAAAAATAAATACTCCTTAAATACTGCTCCGCGCGTATGTAAAACTAAAAACTGGTGTAGCCTTACGTCATGTAAATGAACAGAATAAAATAATTATGGGTGGCAGATCAATTTTTTTTATCCACATATGATGATATATATCCACACAATCAATTTATAATATCCCCAAATTTGACGCCATAAATAATAATGGTGTATTATTTTCATATAAATATACAAACATCAATAAATTGTATTGTTTGTGTCTTCGTGAGAACAAATTTCTCTAGTACTTCCTCCGTCCCTAAATGATTTACACATTTTACTATTCAAAAATTATAGAAATTTTTATTCATTTGTGTATTTTCATTGACTGTTTGATGAAATAAAATATTCTTGTCACTTCTTGTTCTGTAGAACTTTTGATATACTTTTTAAATATGTAAGTTTTATTTTTATTTATATACCAATCTTTATATAAAATGAATTACTCTCTCCGTCTGGAAATATTCTTCCCACTTTCCTTTTTGGTCCGTCCGAAAATATTCTTCTCATTTCCTTTTTTAGTATACTTTTTAAGGATAAATATCAATAATACCCTTCTATTTTATCACAAATCTACTTTTTTTTAGTACTTTTTTAATAATAAAAGGAGATTTAAAAGTTTATAGTATGTGCATTTTTTGAAAATTGTGCATTTTTTACTATTCCTTAATAAGCGTCCCAAGTCAACACGGGAAGAATATATCCGGACGGAGGGAGTACAAAAACTTAAAATCCTACTCCGTTTTGCGTAAAGAGTAAATAATTTAGGTACGGAGGAAGTATTACATTTTCATATCCACATGATCTTATGGAAAAAAACAAGTGTTAAGAATTCTATATTCCTAAATGAATTGATTATCACTGCGGATATTCGTATGGTATATACTCTTCTCATTAACTCTAAGACAATCATGTTAATACCCACATTAACTTTGACATTAAAAATTTGACACCACACATACAATTATTGTTTGTAGTAAAATTCATGGTGCTAAATTTTGGTGTAACTATAGATTTATCCAAACTTTAACAACCCATGAATAGTTGTGTTATTTCCTTTACAAAAAAAAACCAAAAACAAAAATGTTAGCAATGTTGTTTTGGTTTTAACTCAAGTGTTCGACATTATTAAACCTTAAAAGCCAACAATTGCTCGCATGGTAGTTTAAGATAGTCCCGAGGAAGAATGCGTTAAGTCTGGACTCAAGATTGATACCCGACATCCACAAATGTGAGAGTTTTAACTAATGTAATAACTCTATGTGTACACCAGACACAAGACAATATTTTTAAAGATCAAATTAAGACTATAACGTAATTTATCATTCTCATTATTTTGTTGGGTCGAGGTGTGGGAGAGTTGGGAATTGGCATCCCACTTTTTTTTTTGTTAAAAGCAAATGGCCAATTTAAGCGGCTTAAGTTATTTGGTGTGGATCACTAGATCCCAACCATCTAACTTTCAAATCAGTACCACGTCAGATTTCTTTATTTCATCCTCATTCAGGAGTTGGACTCTTAGGTTGAAAAATGTATTTATTGATACTACATAGTAATAAACTCAATATCATTACAAAACGTAGCGATGTTATATGAATATTAGCTCAAATGTTCGACATTGTTAAAACTTAAAAGCAAACAATGGCTTGCATGGTAGTTTAAGATGGTCGTGAAGAAGAATGCATTAAGTTCAAGGACTAGATTGATTACAATGTGAGAGTTTTATCTAATGTAATATCTCTATGTGCACATAGAACACATGATAGTTTTTTCTTAAAATCAAATATGCCGTAATTTATCATTCTCATTATTCTGTTAGGTCAAAGTGTGCGAGAGTCGAAGATTGGCATTCCACTTTTTTTTTGTTAAAAGCAAATGACAAATTTAAGCGGCTTAAGCTACTTTGTATGGATCACTAGATCCCAACCATCCAATTTCTAACTCGGCTCATCCTCATTCAGGGGTTTGGATCCTTATTTGTATTTTTTTATGTTTGTTTTAAAATATTACTCCCTATGTTAATAATATTTCATTTATATTTTTATTTATACTAAAAACTTAAATTAAACATTTCATTAATAATAAATAATTTTATTAACATTTCATTTAATTTTTTTTTACACATTTTCAATAATATATTCAATATTTCATTGATCAAAAAACTAAAATTAGAAACTAAAACACTAAAAGAGACAAAAATTAAAATTAAAAACTGAAGGGAAAAAAACTAAAATATCGGCGCCAATAGGAGACCCAGCCCTCCCATCCCCATTAAAGGACACCCTCTGAACCGAGACTTTTATTTGGGAACGGGCTCCGTTTATTTCAACTCTTAACTTATTCCTATTTCATCAAACCCTTTTTAAGGTCGTTTGGTACATGGAATTGACAAAACTAGAATTAAATTGGAAGTTGAAATTCTTTGGAATTGATTTGGATGGAAATGAATTCTCCAATTCCATTTCATTTTTTGAACTACCAATTCTAAATCTACATATTTTTGTGCTACCAAACAGAAATTGTTGTCCCAATTCCAATTCCAAAGTTTGAATTCCGTGTACTAAACAGAGCCTTAGATTCTTCCATGGCATTTCAGTTTTGACAAATCCAATTTCTTCCAACTCTTCTCAAGTTCTTCTAACTCCTACTTTCTCCTAATATCTAACTTTGTATATCCAATCCAAAAAACTATATTTTAAATAGACAACTAACATGAAGCCATTCCTAAATTACACCAAAATCCAAAATCATAGGGTCCCTCACCGCCCGCACTGGCCGTAAATAACAAATCATGTACATAAATGTTCTAAACTGGTACCTGAAGATCAAGACAGCCGAATACGAGGGACGGGATTGAAACTTCACAAGCCACTACTCACTTCACGGGTTTGCAATGCCGACTCGACCAGCTTCACTTTTTTGGTGTTTTCGCTGTTGGTGAGAGAGAGCTTTTCAAGTGAGGCTTTCAGATGAGACATTTCGTTATGTAGGACGTGGTTTCTCCTCCCGGTTGGCATTTCTCTCTTCGGCGCGTTTGGTTTTTGGTTCAGCTGGGTGGAATGGGTGTACCGTGACAGCCTCGCATTCAATGCTTCAATGGAAGATCTCAAGGCATCCAGCTCAACCCCACTCATCTTGTCTGCAATTGCCATTGTCAGGAGAAGTGCAGGTCAATATATATTGTACTAAATAAAAAAGCACTGGACTAAGGTTTAGCACCAGGCAACAGGCAACAGCCCTCTTTTAAAACTTGAAAGGCAAAAGACAAAAATCCCGCCCGTTTGGGATTAAATGTGATCTAAGGATATGTTTGGTTTGGGATTGTCGGAGGGGGAGAGGAAATTCTCTCCTGCCCTCATTTGGTTAAAAATAAGAGGGAGAGGGGTGTAAGTTCTCCAACTGAATAGAGTGGATCATTTCTATTAGACTTTGAACTCTCTCTATCTGTTAGATTTTGCACCCCATGATTAACCTTAATTTTTTAATTTCCATTTTGCAGTTTGCACCCGGTATAGAAAATGAAACACAGGGCGCAAAGTCAGAAGTTAAGGTAAATTATGAGGTGTAAACCCTTATTTCAGCACGACTAGATAAGGATTTTCACAAGGGTACTAGTAAGATTGAGTATTTACCAGTGGGAGAAGATAACATAAACAAATCCAAACATCTCTTGATTTGTTTGAGACTTTTTTCTTGGAAAATTACTTTAAAGAAATACCCCTTCCCTCCCAGAGTCGAACTAGATGAACTTTATTCATCAATTACATTAAGTTTTCATTGCATATTAATACAACGAGATAAATTTCTGATAGCATTTGGCAAAGTAAATCTAATGAAATCATTTTTGTACAATACTTGATACAATTCTTATTTAATTGGTGATCAAATTTTGTCCAGTTTGACTCAAAAAAGTCAAATGGGATGAATACTCTAAAAGGGAGGTAGTAGTTTGTTATGTTGAAACATGACTTTTAGTCTGAATGTATAAAAAAAGGGGACCATTTTTGGGACAGATGGACGGTAATTAAGAAGCCATGGCAAAGATAATCGGCAATTATTGCTCCCTATGTCACAAATATAGGTTCTATATTCTTTTTGGTTTTCTCAAAAAAAAGTTTTAAGAGTTGTGTGGTGAATTTTATTTCTCATCTGCATAAATCTAAACCACACAATTTCTTTTTCTTTATCTCCATTAACAGTCAATTATTGAGCTTTTTTGGGGAACTGAGGGAATATAAAATAGAAAGACATATTTACCCAGTTTCGACTTGAACACTTGCTCGGATCTTGATAGTGATCGTCTATGTGCTGCTGACAAAGATCTCAGCCTTTGAAATCGGTCTTCTATGGCATTGTGACGCTGAACTGCATTCTCAAAACGGTTCCCTATATTTTCATGATTCTTTTCAACTTTCACAAGCTTCTGCTGTGATTCTCGTAGCCGAGAATGCTGCTCATCAACGATTTTCTTCAAATGAGGCGCATGGTGCTGGAGTTCAAAGTGCACCTACAATGATGGGATAATATCATGAACAGTCTCTTGGAGGGAAAGGCCAAAAGCTTGAATGGAGTTAAAGAGAACAGTGTTTGAAGAGTTCTTTTTTTAACAAACTCAACCTCTGGAAATGTTTTCTTATGATTCCTTGCAAAGTTTATATTATTTGAAAGACACAAATTTTGTCATAAAGTTTTTAATTGGCCAATCATTTTGTCATAAATTTATTTACTGCAAAATGTAAGCTTCACTGATATCAAGTTCAAGGTGGTGAAATAAAAGAGTATCTTTTAAGTTTTTTAGTTTATACATAAATATACACCCTTTGTCCCAAAACTAAAGTCACAAAACGGATTATGATGGTTGACTTAATTCATTTTTAGAATAACCACCTCAGTAAAATCCCACAATTGACACAAAAGTAGGGTAGAGGGTGCGTGTACGCTAACCTTACCCCTACTCAAGTAGAGAGGCAAAAATTATTGGCATGGAAGTAGAGAGGCAAACCCAGTAAATTTATTTTTAATCCAATTTATTTAAATAATGGCACAAAGTTTTAAACTAAAATTTATATATTTAAAAGCTATATGAAATACTTTATAAAACAAGAGGTGAACTGACTATGTTTTAATAAATGAATAATGAATATAAATAACGAAAAAAAGATTTTGACCCGTAAATAGTGTTTACGACTTTAGTTTTGGGAAGGAGGGAGTAACAATTAATGAATTAACAAAGCTTCTAAAAGGGAGAAAACACAGCACACAAGAAAATTTGGGAGCACATGATGCATTCATCCGATGGTCTAGTGTGTTTTATGTGATTATCAGATGCTGACATGAATAAACGACCCCAGCAGATACCCATGACAAAAGCAAATTCTATGGGTTATGTTTAAAACCAAGCAATTGCTAGTAAAACAAAAAAAAAAGAAATGTTGATGAATGTTGTTTCTATGGTTTGTTGTACCTTGGAAAACATGAGCAAATATCTACTCCCTCCATCTAAAAAAAAAAGACAACTGTCTTTGTCTCAGGTGCAACTTTTATGTTTTGGTAAGGAACGGCTCTTAAAAGCCACGTAGTCATTTACTTTTCCCTCTTCTTGAAACAGGATTTCTTATAGGGATGGAGAAAGTATGGTTTTGCATTTAAAATTTTACACATCCATTTTTATTTTATAATATAGAAATAAATAAAATAAATTTGAACAAATATATATAATTGATCTGAGTCCGAACTCATTTGTCTCTCCAATTTTCCTCCAAACGTTTTTTTCTCAAATCTCAGACATGAAAAAATAGCTCTAACATGTTGTATGACTGACATCATTGGTTACTCCCTCCGTCCCATAATTACTTTTCTACTTTCTTAAACCCAAATACTTTCTTTTACTTTCTTTTTAAGGAAAATAGTGTGTGATCAATATTATTCTCTTTCATCTGCACAAACCAGAACCACACAAGTTATACATAAAAATTGTGCCAATATCATGCAAGAAGATAATAATGGGAGGGAGGGAATAATTATATAACTATGTAAAAGTTGAATAGTTCACCTTATGAGCATATTCCACATAATTTTCATGGAAAAGTTTGAAGTACTGATGCAATGCTGCCCGACCCTCAATTGAATCTGATGTAACCGAACGTAGATTTTGTGAAGAAGGTGGTAAAAGAGCAACCTTAGGTCCAGTAAGGAGTTCTCTACTTATAACAGTTTGGCCATTCACATCTTTCGTCCCCTCTTTCAAACAAGTTGGTTCCCCCACTTCATCCACAACATGGGGCATTACGTTCCACGTTTCCATCTCCAGAACAATGCACTGGAAGTTACAAGTTAGCCCCACTACCCATGAATCTCCAAATGGATCTGACAGGGCCAAGAAACCACATAACGGGGAAGGAAGAGATGATTCTTCATGGCAAGTTGTGATAACAGGACAAACAGATGGGCTTTTGACAGATTCATCCTTGTAAATATTCTGGTTTGTGAAGGGAAGAAAATGCAAGACTACCGAATCCACCCCTCCAGTATGAAGACAATATATTCTTTCTGCCATGACAGGGTCAACAGACATCGAGATTGTATAACCGGATTTTTTAGGTAGTGATAGATCAACTATGGCCAACCTCAAAAGTGGTGGTAAATCAGGATTTGACGTAGAGTGGTCACTGTGAGCAACTTCAGAAATCATGGCAAGGCCAACAATACGGTCATTGGTATCAACACGAATACGGGCCGGGCAACCAACTTTCCAAACAGGTTGGATTTCATCAGCTAAAGCATCTATTTGGAGTTGTCCACCACTCCAGGCAGTTACCAGAATTGAATCCTTGCTTACTAAATTGTAAAGAAAGCTTACGGCACATCCTTCACATATAGCCGATTGAGCTAGAGGATCTTCTGTATTTTCAGAAATTTTGCGAAGAGGTCCCTGCCAAAGGAAAATGATGAAAATAGTACGGTATAATTTTTTTAATAAACAGTTCTGTAATAGTTAAGCATGCAAGTAGAACTAGATGAAATGGTACATATTTTGTGCAATTCTTGAACAAGCAGTGTTCTAAAAGGCAGGCTAGGTGACCTAACCTCCTTGATTTTATCCTAGGCAGCTCTGGGTGGCTGCTACTAAATTTTCAAAAGCAAAACTATGTTAGCATTAATGACATTACGTTATTGAAATACTCTATACTCCCTCCATTCATAATTAACTGACATTACGACTTTTGTGATAGATCAAAAATCAAATGAATTTAGACATGATGTATATCATTATTCATTCAAGTTTTGATGTATCTCAAAAATCATAATGGTCAATTAAGTATGAACAGAGGGAGTATATGTTAGAAAATAAGAAGTCAAGAATTGGCATGCATTACATAAAATTTGATGACTTTGATGTTATACATGTACTTTTTGAACGATTAGTCTTTAATTTGTAACCCATTTGATGCACAATACTACTTTATTTATTTTATGATCACATCGACAAATTAATTAAATGCACTACTTTATAGTATTATTAACGATTTTATCATTCAAATACACGATAAATTTATGATAGATACCTATATATTTTATTTTAAAATCTCAACAACTGTATGTGTGCCTGTGTATATACACACACACACACATATACATACATATATACACACACACATATATATATACACACACAGTCACACACACTCCCTCCATCCCAAAATCAACTAATTTTTCTTTGTCGTGTCCCAAGAAAATTGTCATATGTATTCATTTTCCTAATAAAGTAGAGAATGTGTGATCCATAATTTTTCTCCTTCTAAAAAAATTTCCACTACACTTTATTTTTCAACACTTTTCAAAAACTTTGTAAAGTCAAATTGTGCCAATTAATTCAGGATGGATGGAGTATGTATATGCCCAAAGACACTGCCTAGGCGCGTAGGCGGTAAGTCGGTAACGGCACAAGTTGGCCATCCACCACCCACCTGACGCCTAGTGCTTTCTAAAATACTTATAGAAAAAGAACTCTGATCAGTTTTTTTATTTCCAGCTACTCCATCTTTCTTACTCTCCAAACAATGGAGCTATTAGAACCATATTAACTTGTCTTTCAAAAAATGGTAAAATTATCATCTATTCTTTAACTTCATGAAAGCAAACAAAGGTTTCTCCATTTGGCTTTATATTAAATTAAAACATTTAATTATCTTTTTGGGGGTGGGTAGGAATCACAACCCATAAATCTAAGGAACAATAGTCAATGTGGCCAATGTCTTCCTTGAAATGGAAAATATTAAATATTCTAATATAAAAAGTAACCTTCAAAGTTCCAACCATAGTTGTCACGGCATCGCCTAGGCATCCTGGCGGTCACTCCGGTCAGCTCCTCTCGCCAATCGCCATGGTGTATTGCCTTGCCTTATTTCAAATACCTCGCCTAAGATTCGCCTTGGCCTTGCCTCACCTGGGCGTCTAGGCATTGACTTGGCATTGCCGTTTGAAAATCCTTTATGCCTTTTAGTCAGTCACTTTTTTCATACTTAGCATAAACTTCGCAGTAAGAAGTCACATACTGTTTTTTAACCATATTTCGTATTTCATATTCTTCTTTTTTTTCTTATAATGGTGTGTTTATTTTTATAAGTATGTGTATTTGAAATTTTGATTAGGTTTAGAGAACACATATGTTTATATTTATATTAGCGTTAAAAAGATATATCAATCCTGATATCTTCTGTGTTGCCGCCTAGGTCGCCTAATTGTTGCCTAGGCGTCGGGGCATCATGGCGGTACATTGGCGCCGTGACAAGTATGGTACAAACAATGAAATGTTTATAGAGTGTTTCTTTTCTTAGTAAGAATAATGCTGAATTACTAACAAAATGACATCATATGCTCTACAAACAACTACACTACTCGAAAAACATAAAATTGAGCCGTCGGGGAAAGTACTATAATAAAATTCAAATGGAAAAGAGCGACCAATCATGATGGAATACCTGTAGTACAATAGAGACATCAAAGAAAGCATAAGGTTGAGCTCGAAGTGCACAGAGATTCCCGCTTTGTACATCTCCATGACTTATCTCAGGAAATGTAGCTTCTAACCAAGAAACTGCCAAATTAGAATTTTTATTGGCTCTTGAATTTGTAGATTTCAACCCAAAGGCATGAGTATCATTGTATAATTCCAATATGAATTCCCATTTGTACACACTGTTACCAAATAAAGCACTTTCAGTTGACTAACATATACTACGTATAATGGCAGAATATGCCATTTCACACGACTCACAAGCAAAAAAATGCATGGCTAGTTCAATAGGAGAAGAATTTAAATACTACCTCCATCCGTCCCATTGTACTCGTCTAGTTTGACTTTTTCTAATCAAACTGAACCAACTTTGATCATCAATTAAATAAAAACCACATTACCGAAACATGTCAAACTAGAAACTGGGACAGAGGGAGTATGAATGTAAGAAAGCTGCCAACAAACACATTAAAATAAAAGAGTGGGATGATAAAAGAGATGGATAGAATAGTAGCAGAACTAAAAACCAGTGTAAAATTTCCGGTCATACTCAAATTATGCACAAGATCTAGACTTAAAATGTTTTATTATTTTTTGATTCGGAGAGAGATGATATCCAATATCCATAATTTGTAAATGGTTTACATTTATAAGCATTAAAGTATAAAAATTAAAATGAGAATAAGTAAAGGAAATCAGAATTACCTTCCAAAAGGAACAACTGGGCACAGAACATAAACAGAGCCATCACTAAACAACACAAAGACCTGTAGCAAAGCATAATATATTTGGTCAAATTACATACTATGGTCATGTATAAGTGCTGCACATTTATATGCATTAAAGTCTAAAGCAGGTTTTAGCTGTTTCAAGAAACACATATTGCAGGATACATCATGCTTGGGAATAATAATGATGTTTATATTCACCAAAAATGCTAAAGTCATAAAAAAAAGGTCTCAAGATTCAAATACTTGCCATTTGTGATTTTCAATTTTTTTTAATGTTTGAGACCATTTTGTTCTTTTGATGGGGTTCAAAAATATCAAGTTTGTGAACTTTGTGACTTTTTTGTTTGTGACTCTAGCATTTCTCTTACATTCAATAAAGAAGATTGAAGATCAAGATTTAGAGTGTGTTCTTTATGCTTTAAATTTAAGTGGACTCTGGTAGCAGGAGTAAAATCGGAGTCCCGTGGACTTTGAAGGCTGGAGTATGTTCTAATTTCAACTAAATGATGGAGTCTGTTCTACTTTAAACCAAATTTTGGGGTCTGCTAGAGTTTGGATACTATATACTGGAAATTGAAGAGTAGAATTGGAAACCGAATTCTATAGTCTGGATTTTGGAAATAAAGTTCAATAAAGCATATGTTAAGGTTGTTAGTTGGTGCATGAGACTGCAGTTGCATTTGTATATAGACTGAACTCTATCTGTTTTTATTGAGCCCAGCCGCCCAGGTAACTGGAGTTAAAAATTGAATAGAACATGGCCTTAACGCTGTTAGAAGATGCATGAGACCATAATTGCAATTGTATATCATCTCTAAACTGTAAAAACATCATCTATTTTCATTCTTATCACATAGTAATGTTACTATAACAAAAACACAGTGGTTCCGTAGCCACTGGCTTACGGAGCCGGTGCCGCTGCCTTTTTGAAGCACCTCCGATGCTCTGTTCGTAAAATTGATGGTTCCTACCCCTCCTAACCCCCCGAACCCCCCACCCCTTCCCCCCTCCAAATGTGTGGCAATTGAATAATAGGCACACATTTGGAAGGCAGGGGGGTTAGGAGGGGTAGAATTTTAGTTAATATTTCTGACAGAATCATAGCAATACTGAAAATATTAGGAGTTAGGACCATATTTCCATACTCATCAAAACTTCGTAAGTAGTATAAATAGGGATTTTACTTCATCAAACACTATACAATGCCAAGCTTGTGTTATATAGAATTATAAACTTTGACAAGATCATGTCTCTCCCACACCCCACTAATGAGATTATACTGGGTTTGTTGTTGACAAGGTTATGTCTCTAGAGTTTCTATCCAGGGCAAGTGTCATATCCCAGCCAGGCTCGTAACACAGTGTAGCATTACCAATCAAACATTTAATATAAGACAAACAATGATACATGTGCATCATAAACTTACACTGAATCTGTCCCACAAGTGATCACCTCCAAAAGAAAAATCAACAGGACAAATTGATGTTGCATCACGAGAAGTCCCATATTCTATAGGCTGCATATAATACTCTTGCTCTGGTTGTTCAAGTGACGAGGATAAGTCAAACATTCTGGAAGAAGGCAGACAGCAGGATCCGTCAAAATATAAGAAAAGTAGTAGCATTGAGGCAATAACAAATAATGTGCTGATCAGCATTGTATAGGCTATAAGAGATGTTGAAGTGAAGTTATTGAAGAGAGGAATGGAAGCATCTGCAGTAATACTAATTCTAATGATGCAACTACAGTAATTTATCGTGAAGAAAAAGGAGACCTGAAAACTGAATCTGAAGAAAGAATTCCCAGATGGGTGTCACTGAAAGGGTGCCAAGATATGCGTAATGTGCGTACAGAATTTTTTCCATTGAAGTAAATATCTCGGCCTGCAAAAACAGTCCTGCGAGAAATAAATTAGGATACAAAACATTCAGCATATCGAACATCTTAAAACAAGATTTCATTCTGTTTCTCCTGTTCATGGGCTGGATAAGCCAGATAAGCTTACCTAAATCCAAAAAAGGGAACAAATTTAAACAACATCTCACGATGCTTGACCAAAGGATAAATGCCAGATAATTTCATAACAGAGAACAGAAAATGCAGATTATCCACCTATTGTGAAAACAACAAAATTTGAAGAGATTGAACATTTGAAGTATGCTATGAGATATATCATCATCACCCTCACCACCATAATCCCAACTAGGTTGCCTACAATTAGTTAAAACTAATAGAAGAAGTATATTTTTACCGGCAAATAATTGCATTTTCTTTTGATGAAGTCCGCCCATAGAGATACATAATGCACAGGCCCTCCATGCCAACTAAGAATATTGCTGAGCCATTTCTATTAATGGAAATCTTATCCACCTCAAAATTTACTTGCACATCAGCTTGCAAAACCTACAATGAGACCCAGAAAAAATTCATATTCATCTGCCAATGTGAAGATTCTGTACTTATAGACTTATAGAACTGATCTACAATACAATGTTGCATTAGAGAGAAGAGGACCTTAGAAGGAGAAGAAGCGAGGACAAAGCTTGAGTCTGGTTCACCCAAACGAATGGAGATTCGGTGCAAACAGCGTCTGGAAGAGTCCCAATAGTAGAGCCGGGAAGCTCCGTCCCAAGCCAGAAGGTTTTTGGGCAATTTGGAGGTGACGGTAGTTTGGGCGGCGACACCATCTGCAGCGGCGAACACAGGGTGGTTTTGCAATGGAATCCATTCCGCCTCTTCTTTAGGGGTGTTTGACGGCGGAGTTACAGATTGGCGGTTGTCGATGTTGGAGTCTGGTTCTTCTAGGTCAAATGTGAATCTCATTTCTCTAAATCTATGAGGCCGCCGGAAATTTGTGGGAGAAATCGCGATGGCCTCTGATGCGCACGGCGGACGGAGTGAAGGCGTATGAGCTGCGGGTCGGAAGACGCCGGCGGAGGAGTGAATCCCGGTGAGGATGGGCTGGTGGAATGGTGCCCGCTCGTTTTTAGTATTTTGGGGGCTTTCTTTCTGGATCAAGGATTACTAAGCCCATTACGGACCAGGGTCACACAGCCCGACTTGCAAAGGCCTGCCTGTAAAAATATGTTGTTGAACTTTTGGTGCACATTTTGGCCCGGTTCATAAGCACAAGCCCACAAATTTGGGGGTACGGACTTTTTGCCTTCTTCTTTTTCAAAAAAAAAAACTCATTCTAAATTTAAAAAAAAAAAGTTATACGGAGTATCAACTATTTTATACTCCGTAATTGTTTACTCGATTATAATGTACTCCCTCCGTCCCGTTTTAAATCGCCCGTTTTGACTTTTGGGCATATTTAAGAAAAATAAAAAATAGAGTTAATTTTCTGAAATTGTCAGTACTTTTTAGGAGGGATGATAATGAATGAGAAAATAATATGGAGAAGAGTGACTTATTTTAGAGGTATTTTAGGTATTTTACTCTTAAAGTTTACAAAAACAACTAACAGGTAACTTATTTTGGGACGGAGAAAGAAGGCAAACAGGCAATTTAAAATGGGACGGAGGTAGTAGTTTTTATTCATAAATGCTATAAACTTATTTTAGCTAACTTTGAAATTTTTAATCTGCATGCTCTTTACGTCTTAATTTTAGTTAGCGTATAGAACTTGATCATTGAAATTTCGTGACTTGCAACGTTTTGACTTCTTGTACGCACGAGACGTCCTTTCTAAAAGTCATACTAATACGGAGTATTATATAATGATGTATTACTCCACAATTCTTCGAGTTTGTGGAGTGGTGCCCCCTCATTTAGTCTTTTGGGGGCTTTCCATTTCAATCAATGATTACTAGAGCCATTACGAACCCATATCATATCCTAACTTGCAAAGGTCCGTCTTCGAAAAAAACTTTGAACTTTTGGTGAACAATTTGACCCGACTCGTAAGATGTGCAATCCCACAAACTTGTTTGTAAGTTTTATCAACTTATTTTAGCTAACTTTGAAATTCGTGAACGACATATGCTCTTTAATTTTAATTTTATTTAGGATATGAAATTTGAGAACTGAAGTCTCACAACTTACAATGTACTACCTCCGTCCTAGAGTATTTGTCCACTTTCATTTTTACACACCATTCAATATACTTCTTTAATCCATTTTATCTTGTAATTTGTACATTAAAAAATTATAGAAATTATATATTAATAATCTACTATATGTTAAGACAAATCAAACAAGATCACACATGACTATATTTAGGCTTACACATTGAGAGAATTTTATGAGTCAAAGTGCTTAGATTAACAGTTCCAAAAGTCAAAACTGGACGAAATACAAGACAGCCTCTCTAAATATTTAGCTTTATGTCTATACTCTACACAAGACGGCCTCTCTAAATACACATCATGATTATATCATGATTTATTCCCTCACAATTATGTGAGCATCCGACCTTCTTTTGTTTTAAGACTTGTGTGTGACAATTAAAGTTTTAGTTTGAACATTCTTCTAATTTTTACTAAATATGAAATTTTTTTAACTAAACATCAGTTTGATAGCAATGGTCTGGTGATAATAATATTAATATAACAATCATAATAATAATATCAATAATAATAAATATTTTTGAATTATATGTGACATTATTACCATTTAATTGTATATACAATATAATACTCCCTCCGTCACTGAGTGTTTGTCCACTTTCAGTTTTGCACACCATCCAATGCACTTCTTTAATCCATTTTATCTTGTAATTTGTATATTAAAAAATTATAAAAATTATATATTAATAATCTATATGTTAAGACGAATTAAACAAGATCACACATGACTATTTTTAGGCTTACACATTGAGATAATTTGATGAGTCAAAGTGCTTAGATGAACAGTTCCAAAAGTCAAAAGTGGACAAAAACTCAGTGACGAACCAAGTACTAATTATTAGTATATTATATAGAATTATATGTTACATAAATTTATTGTATAACAATTATCATGCAATAATAGAGAAATATAAACATCATTTTTCAACATTTTTATCTAACTTAATCTAAAAAGATCTTTCCACTTTAGTTCGAGTTAGATTTAATTTGATTGGATTTGATTTGATCTGATATTGGTAGATTTAATCTGGTATGAAACGATATAGGGCTAGTCCCGAAGATTTGATGGCCTTGGACGAGATAAAAAATGGGCATTGGCCTTAACAAATTAAATTATGTAAACTATTTTATATAAAAAATTATATTATTATAATACATATAAAAAATTATGATATTATACGGAGTAACTAAATATCGTACTAGCTATCTTAAAAATGTACGGAGTATATTTTAAATTTTTTATCAAAAAATTAAACTGTATATATCCATCTCGTCCTAAAAATCTTTCGGTTTTTGACTTTTTTTGGGTCAAACAGTGACACTTTTTGAGTGCAAATTGTGAGAAAAATATATGTAATTAATGTATAAATTCAATATTATTAGTTTATCTTAGTATATAGTTTTAATATATCAAATTTTTTATCATGTATTTATTTAGATTATTTTTAATTTATATTCAAAGATTGTCACTCTTTAACCAAAAAAGTCAAAACATAAAATATTTTAAAAACAAGGAGTATAAACTGAAAAGTTGGCCCCACAAAAAATTGATCTAGAGTAGTACTCCCTTTGTCCCATTTTAAATTGCTTGTTTGCATTTTTTTTCTGTCCCAAAATAAGTTGCATGTTATTGTTTTCGTAAATTTTTAAGAGTAAAATACATAAACTATCCCTAAAATTAGTCATTTTTCACCACTTTATCTTTTTATTTATCGTCAACCCTTTTAAAAAACAATGACAATTTCGAAAAATCAATTCTATTTTTCTTTTCTTTAAATATGTCCAAAAGTCAAAACGAGCAATTTAAAACGGGACGGAGGGAGTAGGATACTTTGGCTGAACTTTGAATCAGTTTAGATCTGATTTTAATAAAAATAAATATTCTATAATAAGCTAAAAAAAATAAATTAAATGACTAAAAGCCCTCAATTGCTCGAGTTTTTTATGTAACTTAAAAAAAAAATCATGTTTATTGTATTTTAAAATGGAGTTTGTGCACCATATTTACCTCCCTTACAAAAGTTTTGTTCACAAATTTGAGAAAACATATACTTTTAAATAATTTAAAAATATATTGTAGAGCAATCTAAAATGTAAAAGTGAAAATTTTATTTTGAAACAATGTATACCTCTTAAATATCCCTTTTTTACTTATAGATTAAACTGTTTTCTAATTATTTAAAGAAAATCAGCTCTTTTTTATAATTAAATTAGAAAATCAACCCAATAGTGTTGGTTTCTTTGATTTATCCATGCAAAAAGTAATTACGACCAAGGAAAATATAAAAGGTTTTTTTAAAACGAAGTAGTTTAATTACACTTTTTCATCATCCGGAAAACGGCGCCGTTCGAGTTATTGCGCCTGTGCGCGCATACGGGCGTGCGATCGGGATTTTTTCCCGCCGGCCGGCCGTGATCAGAAGGACGGCACGACGCCGTAGCCGTGGTCGCCGGAGAAATCAGCGGCGAGGATGGCCTCAATGTCGACCTCCATCTCCGTCTTCTTCGCGAATCGGCCCTTCACTCTCGGCCTCATCTCCGCGTAAGCCTTCCGCGACGCGTACCTTATCGTCTTCTCGAACCTCCTGTTCTTCCTCTTCTCTCTGTACCTCATCACTCTCGCCTCTCTATCCTTTCCCGCCAACTGTACGCCGGTGGAGCTGCTCAGATCGCCGCCGCCTCCCACCGTCTGCCCCAGAGAGTACGAAATTTCCGACGCCGAGCTCCCCTCCGGCACCACCCCTGCATCAAACGACGTCGAAGAAACCTGAAATATTTAGATTCGAAATCAGAATCTATAAAACGCCCAGATAATTCTCCTCCCAATTTCGACCGGGCGCTGTTATTATCAAAATCGAATTCAATTATGAATTCATAGATTTAATTAGTGTTTTGAAATTAGAGATCAATCGTTTCTACTCACACTGTGACTCAGTGAGCGAGAATTGGAAGACATTGCACTGGGGGTTGTGAAATCGATGTCGAACTGGTTCGAGATCGGAGCCGAAGATTTGGATGATCGGACGGGGACGATGCTATCATTTCCGGCGTCGTATTGTCCGACACAATTTGTGCCGGAAAGGGAGACGTGATAGTCAAAATCTAAGAAACGATCGGAGTCCGGGAACGACGAAAACGAGGATTTCATATCCGGGATGAGAATCTGAGATTTGGAGTTGGAGAGAGGCGCAGGATCCCACGGGAGGGGATCGGCGGCGGCGTAGGACGAGCGGAGGGCCACTTCGGCGGCGGAGTCGTAGAACGGCGAGAGGGGGACGCGGTCGTGGCGGCGGGCGAGCGGGTTGGCGGAGTGGATGTCGCGGTCGCAAGCAACGCACAGCGCGGCGGCGTCCGCCTTGCACGTGACGGTGGCCGGAGCCCGCTCGCAGACCTCGCAGACCCAGACGCGGCGGTGGAAAGGCCCCGCGCCGCCGTCGTGCGCTACCGCGTCGCCGTCGTGCGCTACCGCGTCGCAGGACAGGCAAACAAACGCGGCGTGCGCCTCGCAGAACACGGACGCGGACGACTCCTTACAATAGTCGCAAGGTCGGGTAGCAGCGGCGGCAGACAGACTCCATCTGCTGCCGCCGCCGACGTCGTCGCCGGCGAAACATCGAAGGCCGCCATCATCGACCATACCCATAACCAAAATGTTGGGAGTGGTGGGGAGGTGCGAGTATAAAGTGAATAGGAAGAGAAAATGGAAACGAAGAAAACAGATTTGGCAATGGGAGCGGCGAATCTTAAGGAGAGAAGAAGGGAATGGCCAATGAGGAGATAGGGAGGGCGACACGTGGGTGGCGTTTTGGCCACAAAATAGATTTAGCTTGTGACACTATTAAATTTAATTCTCAATAAAAAATACTATTAGTTGTCAAATAGCTAGCTAAATTGTCTATGAAAGTGTATATCCACTATCCAATACCCATTTTAAATTTAAATCTACAATTATAATAAATTATTTTATATCATATTCTGTATTATATTGTTTCAGAAAGATATGTATTAGTAATTTAGTATAATATATTCTGTGTACAATACATTAGTACACTACAGAGTGTGTGTGTGTGTCTATATACTACGTGTGCGTGTGTGTGTGTTTATATATATATATATATATATATATATATATATATATATATATATATATATATATATATATATATATATATATATATATATATATATATATATATATATATATATATATAATGCGGGCAAGCCTGCAGCCCATGCAGGCAAAATCCAATACCCAAGTGCGTCTATATTATCTTGCAGGTCAGTCTGGTCTGAATTGGTTCATATACTCCGTAGTTGTTTATATCTATCAATTTTTAAGAGCGAGATGGATGGAAGAGACGTGTAGGCCCAAATTTGTGCAGATCTAGTTACTAAGTTCAATCTAGACAAGGGCCACAGTCTAAGAGAAAGGAATAGTGAATTTGACGCCAAGTAAGCGTGCTTAGTAATTACACTTGGCACCCATGCTTCATGGCGGCTCAATGAGAAGACATGAAAGGGCCCAAGATACTCCCCTTCTTGTTTGGGCCTTACTTCTGGGCATGGTCCAAACCCTCATAAGATGTGTCACGTTAGTGGCATGGGTAAGTAGAGGTGTACATAAAATGGAAATATAATAACCTTCCCTTCTTTATTTTGTAATGATAGAGTGAAAATGGTCTTTATGATATTATTGCCTAAGTTTCAATGTTCCATTGTTTGTGAGCGAGAATCACCAAATCCAAGATTTATCAACTACATTATCTAATACTCCCTCTGTCCACCATAAATCTTCCCAATATCCCTTTTTCTCTGTCCACAATAGATCTTCTCATTTCATTTTTTAACAAGTAAAATATCACAACTACCTCCACTTACTTTATTTATTACACCTCACCCACCACATTTAATACACTCCACCCATTTTTCATTAAGGGTATTATGGTAAACTTTCACCTTTTTTCAACTCTCCTTAAAAACCACCAAAAGTCAAAATGAGAACATCTTAGGCAGACGGAGGGAGTATTATAAATTGAAAGATTGGGCTAACTATCATCACCTGATTTCAACTAGGTCTAAGAAGAAGGATTAAAATCTAATAATAAACTAAAATATAATGAGGAGACAATATGAAATTTAAGAGTGAAAACACTCACGACTTAATTGTTATTATGGTGAGTGAGAGAACTTTGAGTACAAGAATAATAAGGGAACTAATGTCTATAATTTGAATCTCACAAATAGAGAACAACATAAGATTTACGGAGATGAGAAACAAGTCTTTCATGATAGTGCTGACACGTAATTGATGCTATAATTAAACATATGATATTGTACTATTTTAACTGTAATATTTGATTAATGTGTCATCTATCAATATCAAGTAGGTCTAGTTTATACTCCGTATGTATTACTTCATCTATGAGATGTCAGAAGACGTCTGGGCCCATTCACTTTTTTATTTTAAAGTCCTCCACTACCAATCGATGTTTCAGGCCACATTTGACTAAACATGGCGATTTCATAAATCGCCAATCATTCCTAGACAAACTTAAAAGCCCCAAAAGGTGTATTGACCGGCATTGATGGATCAATATTAGGTTTAGACTCATAATAAGTCCTTCATTACATTTCTTTTCTTGTGACAATCATCTAGGGCTTGAAATATTTGTCAATTTTTTGAAGTTCCAAAATGCTTTTGAATTTTACTTGTTTAGTCCCTTATTGAAAATTGTTCCAAATATCATTTTATCATTGTGTATTCGTGTTTGTCGGGTGTCATGATCCTAAAACTCTCTTAATTAAAATTATAGTGTCATCATTGCTCACCAATGCCATATGTCAACCTCACAGCATGTGCTCGTTGTTATGGGTGCACATAGAGTGAGACACGAACACCTATATAAAGAGGATCTCTTCTTGTGTCTCTTCATATTTTTGAAAACAAGCTTAGCTCGATATCATCCTTGCAACACTCTACTTTTTCTAAGTCTTCAAAGTCAAGTACTTGGTCTTTTTCTATTTTAACAATAGGATAACCATGAGTAGTGCAAGCGTTAGACAAAAATACTTTGATTGTTCTTCTTTGTCCTCCTCTTCTTCTTCTTTTTCCGAACAAAATCCATGTTTAACATCACCCCTTGGTTCTACCTAACCCAAGTATTTTTGTACCTGTTGGCATGGTCAACAAGGAAAATGTTTTTCAGGAGACTAAACATTCTAAATTTATCAATGTTGTCTAGCTCACAAAGGACTTTCTCTAGCTCAAAGACACACTGATTGTCCAAATTAGGTTGCCCCTCTCTAGGAAAGCCTAGTTTGACATATGCAACCTAATCTCGTCTTTATGAAAACTTAAATAGGACTCATCCTGCCTTGTATCATAGTATCCTTGCTAGCCGCTATAACTTTTCATCCCCCTCCACAATTTCTTTGTCACTTTCTTGTTTCACTATTATATTGCATCCTACCCAAGCAAATTGTCATTAATAGTTTTCTCTAAAACAATTATTTTATTAGCCTACGTTCTTACCTCTACAGAAGTTGACCCATTTTTCTAGCTCTTTGGTTAAATGATGTCTCACATTTGCCCAGGTGATGGACCTCCTTGCCTGGGTTATATACTGATCCAAGCTAGATGTAATTAAGAAGTCTTTCATCCAAAGCCCCCCTTCTACCAACATGATGTGGAAGGGTCATTTTATTTTTGTGGAGTTTTTGAAGGACTAATTCCACTTTAATGAGGATTTGTGGAATAATCATTTGAGAGAATAATTAGCAAGGTGGTCTAGTGTTACCCCAATACTCATCTAGTTTATGGATTACATTGAACCCCTGGCATCCACCCCCGACCAACCATTTGGGGAGTTTGGCTCCGATTGGAATTAGAAATAGCCAATTTCACTTAGTGCTGCTGAAGACGATCCATCCTATCACGAACAACGTACAGATTGCTAACTAACATCAATAGAGAGACCATACATGATATAAAATTAGCATCACAAACACGAATAAAAAGATCAATAGTCTATCAACATTAAGATCATAAAGAGAAGTTAGCACATTTCAAGGCAGGTATGGCTCGACTCCTATAGTGCGATTTAATTCTCTGAGATTTAATTCCATAGAATTGAATTCACCAATTTCAATTCATTGTTTGCACTCTCAACTCCAAATCCACATGCTTTTTGTGCTACCAAACACCATAATTGAAGTCCTCAATCCTAATTTCATAGTTTGAATTTCGTGTACCAAACAGGGCCTCAATAACTTCTCAAATGTCTCAAAAAAAGCTCAACAAAAGCTTATAAAAGCATGTACTCTGTAGAAAACACGGGCATTGGATTTTAATGTCATGAGATGACATTTCAATTCCAAAAGTTTATACTCTGTAGAAATTGATAGTTCATACATCTCTAGCTCCGGTAAGCCTCCGTTCCGGCCCAGCCCGAACCCAGTCGCCCTCTTCCGTTGTGCTCCTTTTTTAGTTGACTTTGAGATTAAAAATTTGTTCAAAAACTCGTAAGGGGTTCGAATTTAGAATTAAGCTAGGGGTACACCAACATGGGGTACCCCAAGTGTACACCAAGCCAACACAGACACACACAGACACAAAATGTCTGTGTTGCACAGACATTTTGTGTCTGTGTGTGTCTATGTTGGCTTGGTGTACACTTGGGATACTCCATATTGGTGTACCCCTAGCATTGCCCTTGAATTTATTGTGGTTGGACCCCAATGTTGTACATCTTATCCTTGTCATGTCGTCAATGGACACATCCTAAAGGCAGCGTTTGGCAGTTTCAACATGTAGTGGAAGATGCATAAAGTAAAATTGATAGGAAAACTTCAAATGGGCGTTGTGTTGTGGTCTCTCACTCTGCTCCTATGTTTTCAAACACACGGCACGGAGGCCCGATGCCCACATGGGCTACACATACATACTTTTAGTTAGGCTTATCAAATTATTTTGTCGACCCAAATAATGGTGGGCCCTTACTATTTTCTCTCTTCTAAATAAATTTTACTTCTTTCATCCAAAAATATTTTTCCTAATTTGACTTTTTACGATCTTCAGTGTTATAGTTTGACCATTAAGCTCTATATTTATATATAAATATATATTATATATATTTGATATTTGAACACTACGTTGAAATAAGAGTGTATTGATTTTAAATTTATATCATAATATAATATATTTTTCCCACATATCAGAGTCAGGGTTTACAAATTTTGACCAAGAAATATTTCTGAACGGAGGGAGTATCAAGTCTAAATTTTACAATATTTTGTAAGATATTGAAGATTATATGTTTATAATTTATTTAGATCAAAATTAAATAATCTGGTGAGTTGTATATTAATTACTCTCTTTGTGCCTGTATTTTTGAGACATGGGTATCAATAAAATTAGGAAAAACAAAATTGACGGGCCAGTTCATGTGATATTGAGTTTCAATGTCAGAGCATGACTCGTGGCATCAATGATGCTCCGTCCAAAAAATTGAAGGTTTTTAGCCCCAACTCCTACCCCAGGCCCCCATTTCCATTTGATAATTGGCCAGAGAAACTACTATAACCAATCGGCAATGGGGGGGTGGTGGGTGGGGGTGCAATAGAAAAGTTATAAAAGATAGAAACTATCAATTTTTCAAATAGAGCATCGTAAGTGTCCTAGGTCATATTATCACATTAGGTACCAATGTCACATGAACTGGGGTGTCATAGAACCATCAATTTAATTCTCATGATGTTAATAAGCAATGTCACAGAACCTCGTTTCTTTTTTAGCTTCTCTTTACATTATGTTTAGTTCAAGAAATTTGAAGAAAAAAAAGTTTTTCTCCATTTTCCTCACAAAAAAGGGAGGAATTCGATTTTC